CAAGAGGCTGTTGCAGAGGCGAGGTGCGATGTATATAACGCGTATACACATTACACTTGCTGTATTTTAATGCAATGCGCGTATATATACGTATAATGCGATAGCGTAATGTACGAGATAAAAGCACGTAGGCAGCAACAGGCATATAAACAGTTGCTGCAGCAGCAGCAGCGAGGGGGGGAATCGTTGCAGGCTCGAGCGTAATTGTTTGACACCCCGTAATCAGCTTCGCGAGAGAGGCTCGCTTTATTTTTTTATTGTTTATTTTTTTCTCTCCTCCTCCTCCTCGTGCTTCTCGACTCATTGTATTATACACATCGTCGTCGTCGTCGTCGTCGTCGTCGTTTTGAGCAGGGCTGCTGCTATACGCGAGAGAGCTATCTCCTTATTACCTTGATCACGATTACAAAAGACAGAGAGAGAGAGACACTACGCAGAGTCGTTTCCTCCTCCTGCTCCTTATGCCTCGTCGTCGTCGTCGTCGTCTCTTCTTTTATTTCTCGCCATGCTCATTTCTTAGCTTCAAATCATATTGCTGCAGCAGCAGCTAAAGCCGAGAGGATAAATAGTTATGTCCTGGTTGTACTCCGCGCGCAGAAAAGCAGCAGCATTAAATTTTTCTCTCTGCTGAGCGACGACTAGCGGCCGTTATACTAAACGTTGCATCACCTGCAGTTCGAAGCTTGTGATAAACGATCGGCTCGAGAAGAAAATTCATTCTTCTTCTTCTTCGACTTTAATGGCTTTTCATTTTTTTTCCTATAATTCTTTTCAAGATACGGTACAATAAATTAATTTAGAAATATTTTTATTTAAAATGAAAAAATAAATAACTAGGGTCAATCGCTCGGCCTCGTTACATATACCACTCGCAATCCCATTGTGAAAGTAGATACGGCGACTTTCCCGACTCGGCCCGATATTATTATAGGTATACAGCGCGAGTGCAAAGGCTCCTCCGTTGGCAGCGGCATATAATACGATATACATACGCTGCGGTGCGCGATTAAATAGTTTAGTTGAAAACTACAATCATGCGCGCACTGCTGCTACTGCTGCACACAACGCGGCTATTACGTAGGCACATATAATCATCCAAACTCCGGGAGCACAGACACACAGACAGCATGTGTGCAGTAGTAGACTGCACGTATATCTGGACATCTTCATGAGGCTCATATTTGCTTTCTTTCTCTCTTTATCTGCCTCGAGACGTATAGAGCAGCAGCGTATTACACAGAGCCTGGCGCATCTTTGTTTTACCCCCGCGTTCCCCTTGAAACAAAAAGGCGCACACGATTCTCCGAGCGTTTACTCTCCGCGCTCGTACTCGAAAAAGAGATTGTGCTACTGTTTCCCACGTGGAGAAACGTATAATTCGAAATGTCGCATTTTTATTTTTACAAGTTACAATTGGAAAGTCTTGACCTTTAACTGCCTCGCTAACTCTCGAGTCGCTCGACGAGTTTTGAGTTGAGCTACGTATATATATAATTCCAACTGTACGTCGGGTTGTACGTATCGCGCAAGCTCCGACCAAGTCGCAAGTTAATTTTCTTGGTCCACGAGAGAGCTGCCTTCCAAAACACTCGACGATTACGACGACAACGGTCAGTTTCCGCGACAAAGTCCCGTGGGCGAAAATTAACTTTGTGCATTGTATATACGATACATATAGGCTCGCTCCTCCTCGTTTTAAGGGATATATATATATCGAGTTGAGCTCGCGCAAGAAAGCAAAGACTCCGAAACGCGTACCGTGTACATAAGGTGCGTATAATATACGCGCGCGTGTATAGGCGCCACAAGCTCAAGAGAGAGAGAGAGAGAGAGAGACGCGCTCAAGTCAAGGAACTTTGTTGTTCGATAATAACGAGGCAGGAGCGCGCGACACATACTCAGCAGCTGCTGCTGCTGCTGTGCTTGACACTTACTTAATTGCTTATGAGACGCCGCGCGGGTGTATACACGAACTTATGTATACGCGTAGAAATTGGCTCGCGCTCGTTCAAATGCAGCTCGAAGGGGGCGGCGGCCACCGGTACACGGGAAGTTCGTATCTCGCGACGAGAGTACAATCAAGAAACGCTCGATTAGCTGGATTAAATGCTCTGCGTCCGTACGCTATGGATGGACGCGTACTTGTGCGATTGACGAAAAAAGGCTGTAGATACGCGAGACGTATACGTCAATGCCGAATCATATTATCCATCCAAACGAGTAAACGAGTTAATTATTTAAAAATCCGCGCATTGTAATATCGTTTTGAATCGCAACGAGGACGTAATCACGATCGCATCGCCGTATTTTAATGGGAATGCGAATGTACAACGAAAAAAAACAAACAAACATCAGTAGCGAATGAAATGAGAGAAAGAAAAAAATTCCTAGGCAAAAGTGGGGCCTGTGTGTCGCTGACAAGAACTGCAGCAGCCTCACTCGCATTTACGCGACGCGAATATAATGCAAGTCGACGACTCGAGGCTCCGTAATTGCTCGCGACGAGCTCTGCGCTGCAGCGGAGGGAGACCTTTCTTTCCGAGAGAGTAAACGAGTCGTCGATGATGGCTTCGCTAAGATGACAAACGCGACCACAGAACTTAATTAAACTCGTAAATCTGTCGCCAGCTACAGTCTCTTTCTCCCTCTTTCTCCTTTTCTCTCTCTCTCTTTATAAATTGCATCGTGCTCGTGCTTATTGGCAATTCAAAAAATGCGTCGCGGCGCTCGCTGCGACTAAACACGCGTACGTATACTTGTACGAGCCTCGTCGACAGGCCCGCGGAGAAAAAAAAATTCACTTTCGTCGTTCGCGAGGGGACTAATTTGAATGATCCGTGGCGCGCGATCGAAATATGCCTCGACTGCAAGTAGGTCGTTAGGCAGTAAAGTGGCTCGCGATTGAAGCTTCAGTGACCGTAGCTTGATTCTGGAAAACGAAAATTCAAAAGATCAAAAATCTGGACGTGGCCCACTGATATCGTCACTAAGGGTGAATAATCCCCAGACTAAAAAAACGATCGCTGTTCTGAGCACTGAAGCCGACTTAGTAAACAAGCCAACGCAGGGGCTTGGTAGCCACTATACCAAATCTTTCAGTAGAGCGCACTGTACTGTTTAGTAATACGCTCTAGGTTAGGTGACTATTATAGAGCATATTACCAAACTGTACAGTGCGCTCTACTGAAAGATTTGGTAGTGGCTATACCAAGTCGCTGCGTTGGCTTGTTTACTAAGTCGGCTTCAGTGCTCAGAACAGTGATCTTTTTTTCAGTGCATGCCTGATATACCAACTGGAAGTCGACGTTTTTAATATTTTTATTTTAGGTGTTTTGATGATAATTATTAAATTTGACTCAACAATACTACAATAACAATTGTTTATTTTTAATTTATTTATTTAAACGATATGAAAGCTGTACAATATTAAATAACATCAGTCTCGTAAAAACTCTACAGTTATGCTAGTATCCTTCTTTTTATTTTTTTTGTCCTTTAGATCATTCGTCAAGCAAATATTATACAAATCCTCGTTATTCAGATTGTCGATGATCATTTCGCAGCACTCGAGGGGCAGTCGTTTGTGTATCAGCTCCCAGCAAGACTCCACGCCATGGGTCAGGAAAAATCTTCTCGACACCTTCTCGCACAGATTCAAAGCGCAAGCCTCTTTGTGCACTTTGAGGAGTTTGGTCAATTTTTCCGAGCAAGCTAACTCGTAGTAGTCCTGAATGCTGACTCGTTTAGCCGCCTCTTTCGGTCGTAATCGAACCAGGTCGTAGAGCGACAGGCTCGGATTTATCTCGATCTCTTTCGCTCTGCTCACGAAACTCTCGTCGTCGTACCAAACGTTTGCGTTCGATTTCTCGAACAACTGGTGCTTGTCGAAAAATTTCATGATCGTCAGGGCGTTGCTTGGGTCCAAGTGGTAGTTCTTGTTCTCAATTTGGTGAACGACATCCAAAACGCCGGATGCTAGTCTCAATTTGAAATAGCCAGTTTCATGTCTCTCCGGCTTCAATATACGGTCGAATCGAATGCTGAAGCGAGACTCCGAAGGAACGTGATTCATGAGTACATGGACCACGCGTGGCATGAGATTCGAGACCGCTATTTGCATCGGCGTCCGATTCAACCTGTCCCGAACGTCGACCCGCACAGGCCGATTCATTCTTGCATGGATTTCGAAGAAAGACTCGAGCAATTCGGCGTTGCCCCGCCGACAAATAATATGCAGAGCCTTGTCGCCCTTCCCGTTGGACACATTGGGATCGGCGCCTCTCGTCAGTAGCGATTCGGTCACCCCCTTGCAGCCTCGGAGAGCCTTGTGCAGAGGTGTCTCTGCCGAATTGTCCCGGGCATCGACCCTCACCGGATACTTTCTGTCGCTGAGCTCGAATATCATCTCCGCCAAGCGAGCGTTATCCCTGTAAGAGGTGCACAAGTGCAGAGCCGTGCATCCTTCTTTATCGGCCAGATTGGGATCGGCGCCGTTCCTCAGCAGCAGCTCGACCGCTTTGTCGTTGTCGTTGATCATGGCCGTGTGCAGCGGTGTCTCGTACGCCTCGTCTCTGGCATTGACCCGCAGCGGCCTGAACTCGTCGTGGCTCAGCCTGAAAATCATCTCGAGCAAGGGTTGACGGTCCCTTCTCCATCTACGGCTACCCAGCTCTATCATGTGCATGGCCGTCATCCGATTTATGCGTTGGGCCAAGTTAGGATTGGCGCCGTATCTCAACAGAAGCTCGGTCGCTCTCTGGTTCCCGCGACACATGGCTTTGTGCAGCGGCGTGCTGCCGATCTCGTCCAAGGCGTCCACCTGCACCGGACGATGCTCGTCCCGGCACAGCTCGAACATCATCTCCATCAAGTGTCTCCCTCTGCCCGTGTTCAGGACTCCTCGGCCTATGACGTGCAGAGGCGTCGATCCCTTCGCATTGGCTACGTTTGGACTCGCGCCTGCTTCCAACAGTAATCGAACCGTCGCTTTGTTGCTCCAGCCCGTCATTGTGCCGACGGCCAAGTGCAGAGGCGAATCGCGCGCTTCTCCATAGGGCCGATCGAGACGCTGCCAGCCGTGCACCGCGAGGAAATCCCCGACGACAGAGTCGAGACCCGCGACGCAGGCCACATGAAAGTGCGACATGCCGAGCTCGTCGACGTAGTTCAAGTTGTATTTGTTGTATATTGCAAAAAGCTTACTGACGACGACATTCTGGGCGGGACCATTGTAGCTGTTGATTTTGCGAGCTGCCGCGTGTAGCGCAGTCGTGCGTCGCAACAGTGGCTCTTCTTCTTCGTCAACTTCAGCCTCGTCCTCGAAGCCGGTGCGAATGACAAACTCGACGAATCGCGATACTTGACCATCGCGTCTATGAGAATCCCATCGATCTATGCAATCCAAGAGAAGCTGATGAATTTCTGGTGGTTGAAAAATGTCCAGGAAAATTGCACATTCGTCAAACCAATTTTCGATCAATGGAAAAAGCTGATCGAGAAGTTCATGTCGCTCTTGTTTGATATTCCAATCGACTTGTTCTCGTAAGCACTTCAATCTTTCAAAAATTAATCGATTAACGCGATCCACCGGTTCGTTATTGATCTCCATCTTTTCGTACACTCACTATAGTGAAAGAAATTTGGGTGTGTTTAATTCCCACTCCAGTAGTATAGTGCCTCTGCAGCGCAATAGACCCCAATTCAAATTAAACTGTGAATAGAAAAGATGTTATTAATGCGATAAAAATAATTATGAGTTCATACTTTTATTAAAATATTTACAAAAAGCTTATCATTATTATTATAAAACAAAGAAAAATTATTAATTACAAAGCCTTTCTAAAAAAAGCATAAACATTGTCATTTAAAATAATTTTTAGACCAAGCGAACTTGATGCCATGGCACAAATATCGACGATTCTATCTTTTTCAGAATTTTGATCGATTAAATATGCGTGGTAATGATCGTCAAAGGTTAGTTCATCATATGAGTCATTTCACGTCAAGTCTCCAGCGGTATGCGCGAGCGGCCTTATTAAGCCAAATTGCTCAATTTGTAATTCGTCAGAAAAGCATCTAAATGAACCTAGAAAAAATATAAGCTCCATGATTTCGATGAGAAATTGCCTTAGCTTTCCGATGGTTGGATTTCCAAAAATTTTCCAAATTCCATCATAAGTCGGCCACCCCGCGCGATTACGGCATTTTTGGTCGAAAGTGTCGTATGTTTAGCTCGCTCGGAAACGTTTACCAAGAGTCAGAAAAAAAATCCAAACACATAGATCGATAGATTTTTTCCTCTTCTTTCTAGTGGTGTAACTTAAAAAATTCTTAAAAATTTATTTTGATGTTAAAACTTGACTTGAATGTTTAAGTCGATTTATCCAAAAAATGTATCCTCCGATTCCAAAATAAACTGCACCAATCGAAAGAGGAGGCAAAAATCTATCGAAAACGATATTTTCCAGGATGGATAAATGATAAGAACTAATAAAGATATCAAAATGAATAGCGCGGGACGGCGCGCGCGGACCTGCTTTCCTGCCTATGTCTTTTCGACTCGCTAAAAAAATGCTGAAAAAATAATTTAAACACGTAAATCGATAGATTTTTTCCTCTTCTTTCGATTGGTAATGTTAATTTTGAGGTCAAAATTAAAATACTAGAAGAAATATTAACTTAAAAATTCAAGTCAAGTTTTGACTATCAAAAAATTTTTTGGAAATTTTTTCAACGACGCCATCAGAAAGAAGAGGAAAAAAATCGATCGATTCACGTGTGAACATCATTTTTCCAGCCCTTTTTAAGCGATTACGAGCTAGTCGAAAAGACAAAGACGCGGCGCCGCGCGTGTGCCGCCGCTGGCGCACGGAAAAGAGGTCCGCGCGCGCCGTCCTGCGCTATTCATCTCGATATCTTTATTAGTTCTTATCATTTCTCCATCCTGGAAAACATCGTTTTCGATAGATTTTTGCCTCCTCTTTCGATTGGTGCAGTTTAAATTGAAATCGGAGGATACATTTTTTGGATAAATCGACTTAAACATTCAAGTCGAGTTTTAACCTCGAAAACAATTTTTAAGAATTTTTTAAGTTACACCACTAGAAAGAAGAGGAAAAAATCTATTGATCCATGTGTTTGGATTTTTTTTCTGACTCTTGGTAAACGTTTCCGAGCGAGCTAAACACACGACAGTTTCGGCCAAAAATGACGTAATCGCGCGGGGTGGCCGACTTATGCTGGACGCGCTCATATATGAATATGAGTAAATTTTTGTTCAAAGAATTGGTTCGAAAATTCCATAAAAATTCTCCGAGATACTTTGATAGTCGTGATTAGGGCTGTGCGAGTATCCGATTTTTCGAGTTTGAGTCGAGTCGGGAAAATTCGAGTACTCGAGTTTTTTCGAATACTCGATTTTTTTTCGAGTACTCGAGTTTTTTCGGGTACTCGAATTTTTTCGAGTACTCGCAATGTATTTAAATTTTAAGTAAATAAATAGTGAATCAACAGTCTCTAGACCACCTCTCTTTGTGTTTACATGCTTATAAGTGCGTTATTCGCAGCGGATTGGATTGGAAGAAGAAAATAATTTAATTGTACCGCACTTCATCACACTTACAATCACGTACACACAAAAAGGAGGGGTCTAGAGACTGTTGATTCATCATTTATTTGGGTCATATCACAAATGAGTTGATAGGTCCAAAAATGACCTATCAACTAAATGCATTTCTGAAAAGTACATGAAAAAACAAAACTTTTCATGTGTTTAAAAAGTGCCATGGTTCCTTCCTTCAAAATCTACAGATGCTCAAAGTTAGAATCTGAAAACTAACTTTTTTCTCCATAGACCCAATGTAACTCTGAAAAATAAATCAAACATAGTATTTTTATGTATTTTTTGATGAGGAATTCATTGGTGATAGTTAAAAAGTGATTCAGATACTCTTACACCAAAAAAAATCAAAAAAATGCATTTTAGGCCCAAAATAGATGTGTTCGTCCTCTTGGATTTGCCTGAAATTAATAGAGTANAAAAAGAAATAAGCATAAACAAATAAACACAGACAAAGACAAAGACAGGCAAAGACAAATCAAGCCTCCAGCATATGCTGCCGCAGAAGCTTCTTGAAGCTCATGTTTCTGAAACTCCGTCTGAGATTGCAAGGCAATCCATTCCACAAGCGCGCCGCTCCAATTGTAAATGAGAAGCAAGCACAGTCTGTATTAGCCCTGATTACGACCAGCTCCAGCTCATCCCTCCTAGAGCTGCGGCCTGCAGGAGCCTCCCGAAATTCAAATTCCGTTGACCAGTAGTCAGGCCTTCCATCGCGCAGCACCGACGAGAGCAGGACAAGGCAAGCACATTGTATTCTCTTCTCGTACGGCAGGATGTTAAATTTTGCATATTGCGGAGTAATATGCTGCCACCTTCTGAGTCCGGTGAAGAAACGCACAGCAGCATTCATGCATCGCCTGATCCTAAGGGCTTGCTCCGCCGAGATGCCCAGGAACAACGCAGCACAGTAGTCCACATGAGGGAACACCAAAGTTGTGACCAGCATAGCGCGAACGTCCGACGCAAGAAAATCCCCACACCTTCGCAGGCTCGACAGAGTCGCAAAGACGCGGGCAACGACCACCGAAACATGGCCTCTCCAGGTGAGCTCGCTATCCAAGGTGACTCCAAGCAGCTTCAGCCTGTCGACCACCAGAACAGGGTTTCCTTCGATGATAGGTGGAGGTACATCGCCAGCTCGAAGCTGTGACATATATCGACGAGTTCCCAGCCATATAGCCTTGGTCTTGTTCGGATTGATCACCAGGTCCGAGTCCGCTGCCCACGCCGCTAGCCGATCCAAGTCCTCCGACAGCAGAACTGTCAGCCTTCGCACATCCGTAAATGGTCCATGGACGTAGATGGTGGTGTCATCCGCATAGATGTGATGCCTGCAGTTTTTCAGGACGCGAGGGGCGTCGTTGGCAAACAGCGCGTACAGCAGCGGCCCCAAAACGCTGCCTTGCGGGACACCTGCCATCCTTGGCAGGGTCGCCGATCTCTCGCCACGAGGTCCAATCACCAGCTGTGTACGCCCAGCCAGATAAGACTGGATCCAGCAGCACGCCAAGTCAGACCATCCTAGGCGTTTAAGCTTATTGAGGAGGATGCTGTGGTTGACGACGTCAAAGGCTCGCGAGAGGTCGACCGCAGCCATGAGGGTGACCTCCTGGGACTCGACAGCCTCTCTCACATCGTCCATTATGCGCAGGAGGGCAGTCTGCGTGCTATGACCTCCACGAAAACCCGACTGGTACTTATCAAGGAGCTTTCTTGGTTCGATGTAATCTGTCAGCTGAGCATGGGCAAGTCTCTCCAGGATCTTAGACATCGCACACAGCAGGCTTATAGGCCGAAAGTCACCGGCATCTCGTGGCGACGACTTCTTTGGCACCGGTCGAACAATTGCAGTTTTCCACGCTGAGGGAAACACGCCCGTCTGCAAGGAACAATCAAAAATATTCGCCATCACCGGCAGCGTGACACAGAGACACTCGCGCAGGAAGCTCGCAGGCATGTCATCAGTGCCCCGGGCCTCAGTTCGAGTACGTGCAACAGCTTCAACCACTTCAGAGAGTTGTACATGGCGGAAGTAAAATCGCTCGTCTGGGTGTACACTGCTGACAGGCGTCTCGAAATCCACAGCTCTCGACTGAAAAGCTCCAACGAAGTGCTGATTCAGCTCATCAACGAGTGTGCGGAAAAAGACACGAGTGCCGGCTATGCCGGCAGGAGTGGGTGTTTTTTCCGCACACTGTGCGCAAAAAGCTGGACACGTGTTGCATACAAAATTTTATGCAATAGTAGGCAAAAAATACGTTCATTTAAATGAGGCATTTTACCGCACACCCGTGTCCAAAATGAGGCATTTTACAGCACACAAGTGTCCAAAAACGCTTTTTGCGCACTAAAAAATGTGCAAAAAATGTCTTTTTTAACACTGCGTGCGCGAAACACGGGCTTTCTAACCTTGAAGCGTCTTGAAAACAACTCCTGGGTGAGTCAACTGCTTCGCGCACTTGTTACAAAATATACTATATTAAGATATGTCGTTTTATTCTATTAGAAATAAATCTTTTAAAAAAAATTTTTTCTTTTTAATTTGGAGCAGGGAGGTCCCCTCAAATAAAATTCAATACTACTTACTCAAATTTAAATGCTTGATTTTACTCTAAAATCTGAACTAAATTTAAGATTTTTTTCAACAATGTACGTATGATAGAATTAATTCAGACGATAAGCGACCGTATCTA